GAAAGCCGAAATCGCGTATCAACTCATGAGGGTCTTCCTACTACCTCAGAGGCACTCCAACCTTGGTACAGAATACTGCGCAGTTACTCCAGGGGAGGCCTTTTTTTTTGCTAGCATATATGCATTCTCCAGGGACAGTTACTCAGGAACTTGTAGATGTGGATTTCAATTGGCCATCTCCTGTTTCATGTCCCATGAAATTATGTATGGATTGGATTCACGTGGGGACCACTAGTCCCGTCCGAATCAAATTTATGCTCATGTTCTTTCCTCTTCAAATGCATAGACTTCTATCTTTCCAATTATAAATTACAAGTTACTAAATTCAATCTAGGCTTCTATTTCTTCACTTAATTGGGAAATTCAAATTCACATGCAATCACTCTTATGCGCTGTTTACTACCTTGGGGGGATTCAGTTGGCATGTCATTATGGAGCGGGTAATCTTCTGTTTGGTAAACAACGTCATTCATGTAAGTATTAGACGTTGTTAAATTTGATGTTTTTTACTATCTAGTCATCAAGTGACATCAAGCGAGTGTCTCAGGTTCTTTCTTTAGTTCAAGTTTTGCATTTTACGCCACATCGGTATCGCGATATGACCACGACGAAAAGCAGGATCACACTATTAGATGTGGGGTTGATTTACTTCCGGAGCTAGTTTTATACCGAACCTATTTTTTAATTGACACGGTCAGGTTCAAGGGTTCTGTTAGGTTTAATTATCAAGATATCAGGGTCAAAGATCTTGCTTTCAATGAAAGCCTCTACACAAAGATCGCACTCCCCATTACTGGAGGAATAATAGTATACCGATACCAGTAATGACCACATGTAATTGCATAACTGCACTTTATTTCTTTTTGGTATTGCGGGGCGTAACTATTATCACCAGGGCTATTGAGGCAGGCAGGTATGACCTGCAGGTCTACTATTATGGCGTAATTATTGATCGATTCCTCACTTGATTTGGGGTTCCCCGTTCGACCGTGACTTAAAGGGAAAAATAAATATTTCTCATGAGGGATGTATTTTACATATACATATATATTCTTTCTGGCAATAGAGACTTAGACAATGTTCTAGCATGTCCCTGAAACTGGTTTAAATAGCTCTTGTATCCTGCAAAGTCAAAATGTTCCCCCTTGGGGAAGTTGTTTCTGTCCCAGACGGCGCAACCGCTTCTAAAAAATGGATCAATATTCGTCCAAGCTTTTTTTAACGTTTTGCGCAATTTGCAATGTTTAAACACGAGTCTTTTACGCTTATAAAATTGTTACGTCATTTTCTCGCCGCCCTCCACCAGCTACTTTCCGGACAGTATATTTGTAAGCCATTAACGGGTGCGAATAACATCGGAGTGTTTAATACTGACTTTTTGAGAAAAAGAATATCCCAGCCATGATAATCAACTTGGGAAGGCAAGAAGGAAAACGTAATAACTAAAATAAGGCGACGTCCTTGCTTTGTGGCTTTCAAGTTTCGGATCTTTACGGTTCCCCGCTGAATAATACCACTCAAGCTCATCTCGCTGATTCGAAATCATTCGATGTTCCAAGTAAATAGATAAAAGAGCGTCTCAGTCCTCGTGGCGATTTTCATCTCTTTTTATTTAATTTTTTCTTTTAAAAGGAAGAAAAAGAACGCCAGTCAGATCCGTCAACGGTGATTAGATATGATCAATTCTTTCCCGTCCGGTTTGAAGGAAGAAATATCTACAAAGAAACTAGTGCGCCTACGTGTCTACGTTACGACAAGGGGTTTACAAAAACAAATACATGGCAAGCCTTGAAATATTCCCACCAGTACTAGTTCCTGGTCCTAGCCGGTGATCAACTAGCATGTTTATTCATCCATCGTACGATAACAGAAGGTGTTCCTTCCTCCGGTAAGCATGTATATCGTCATGAATCGCGAGCTTTACGACGTCGGTGTATCATAGCGACAAAGCATGTTCCGAATAATACAGGGAAGAACGATGTCTGGTGCCTGCTATTAGATGGAGGGACCGAGAATCGAGATCGCACTTCTACTTCGACTCCAGCCTGAGATGAAGAGAAGCTATCGAGGGAATTTATTTCTATGGTCACATTGTTGGTCCAGGCTCATGATCATTTGGACTATTGTATGAGTGGATCGTTATTTATCTCCCTTTATACTATACGGTGTAGCTATAGCTATAGCTACTATAAAAAGAGTACTACAACTTGAATAGACCCCCGAGTTCGTCAAGATTTCTGAAAACAAAAGAAAATCTTATCAGGTACAATAAGCCGCATGTTGACTTTATTTGGGGAGATACTTTTCCGCGCTCGTAGCGGGAAAAAAACTCTTAAATGGCGTTGATTCATGACGTAAAATCCCCATAGAGTAGCAAAGGTACACGTTAGGGCGGGGTATCCGCGTCTATATTGCATATTATCACCATGCGTTGTCGCGCGAGTGTTCGGGATGGTTTATGTTAGTTCTAACATTAGTTCTATTATGCGTTCCCCACATGGTCATATATATAGTTGCGGCAAGGTGATTACTAGTAATTTCAGCGGTGTAGCCGATTTGATCAATGTCTATGGACTTATCTGTTCATCGTTCCATTCAGACCTGTCCCGTGTTTATCACTCAGCCACGGTACATCCTCGCACATATACATATACTTACAACTTACATTACAAGAAATAGATAAGAGGATAAGTCCAATGGACTTATTGGACTTATCTTTAGATAGGATTTTACCGACTGCGGGTGTTAATAGCGGCATGGTTATATGCACTCAAACACGAGGCTCACCAACCTCCATCTGTCAACTCGTTACAGAATGTGGAAATTAATATTAAACACTCATTATAAATGAGGTGTCAATTGGAATGGTTGAAAATGAACTAAAGTATAACTAATAACTAAGTTATTCGCATCTTATCTCTGAATGAAAGTCTAGAGAGAAAGGGAGAGGGAGAGGGAGAGAAATTGATTAAGGGCTTAATCTATTAGCTTTTTGATTTTCACGCTTTCTAACGAACAAAGAAGTGTGCAAGAGATCGCAACTAAGCATGAGGCACATACATACTGATGAGCATTGAGTCATCCACTTTTGCTTTCTTACCACCACCAATAGCAATCTCAACTCCTAACTTCTTTTTCCGTTTGAAGATGGACCATTTCACTTTAGTTCAGCATCAAGAGTGATTTCGCTAAACCAGAAAACGTTGCCAAGTCCAATCTTCTAATCATTAAGAACACTTCCAGTATTACTCGAGTCGAGCTCGCTTCAGAAGGCTAAACCACGCACCCGCCGCGCAACAAGCCAAGTTGTTCACCAATGAAAAAGGATGAGCTTGTGTCGGGTTCGGGTTTAGTAAGTCCTTTTTATTACTGATATTTTTTGAGCCGAGTTAATGAAATCCCAATAGGTCTAATCTCGCCAAGATAACCTCCAAGTACCGGTATAACCATGTCCGACCCTGCAAGGACTCTCCGCTCTCAATAGCAAATTAGATCTTTCCCGATAAATATTTTTTTTCGTACTTTGCACATCGACCATGCTGGTCTCTGAAGGTGTTCCATGCCCCTTCAACTCGGGTCGTGGTCATGCCAAAAAATCTATCCGCTTCACTTCTTCCAAGTTACATCCGTGTCTTGCGAAAAAGGTCCCATAAAGCTTGAACTTGGTACTAAAATGGAACCCCGGGCGTGGCAAGCGAAGTTAGTTGTAAGGTTTGCTAGAAATATCTATGGTGCAAATTAAAAACCTTCAATAATAGTGATGGCGTTGAAACAGTCCACCGGACGTCGGTGGAACCCCTCCTTCCAAGACATATTTTTAGAGTCAACCGATCGTAATCCACCAATGAATGTTGACGACGAGAACAAGGGGGACTCATATAGATATAGGTAAGTCCAGGGCAAAGCCGTATGTCTCGTCGTTTGGTTCGCTTCAGGTGGTTGACCACGGCAATCGTTGCAAGTTAAATGTGCCCGAGGGGTATAATCTGTTGGATTTCCAAGAAAGTGATACTTCCAAGTCTTTCAATTCTGAAGGTTAGCCCAGCCCAAACCTGTATTATATTTTAATTAAGTAAAAAAAAAATCGCCCTTTATAGACAAATCAAATCTTATCTCGGCATTAGTTTCCTCCACTTCCAAAATGGATTCCCTAAGTAAAGACCTGCATTAATGAGGTTTTGTAACCGATCTCGCATGCCAAGTTGCGAGCTTTCGAATTCTCGAGCTTTTGATGCACTTCCTAATGATCATCTTAATAGATTGACGTTCGTGTTGTCATTGTTGTGCAAGGTTTTGGCAAACAAAAGGCCGTCATAATCGCGTTCAATCAGCAGAGTTCCAGCATTACTTCAGTGCTTCGAGATTTTAATCTGAAACCGGTGGCTACTACTACCTCAGGCTGGGCGACATCCATTTAAGATCAAAACTTTTAATATATCTATTGAAATGTGTCAAGGGCAGAGCAAGCTACGGATCCGAAAAGCAATAACTCAACTGTCCACAAGTTAGCAGCCCCTAGTGACAAACGATGCCTCGCGCTTTCAAGTTAGATAACCTGTTCTTCCTCAAAAGAACAGACCGCAGCAAGGGTGCCTCATAAGAAGCCATAATCAACCAAACATTAATGAGGTTCTGTGGTCGTTATCGCGCATTTCCTCACGCGTCATTTCTATTCTTGCGACAATGGAGGATGTCAAAGAAGGACCTTCTGAAAGCACTCTGGAAGCCTTCAATTTAACTGCTGGGCTCAGTAATAAACGTCGCTTATACAATAAGATCCCTTTTTTGTGATATGAAAGGACGGACGGACAGACAGTGGCATGGGGGCGGATAGATAAAGAGGCTTTATTGGATCCCATTCTTTTGGTTTCTGGTGGCTTTTTGCAGAACGGAAACGTCAACGCATGAATTTGGACAGCCTGGTTCGATATGTGATGAGGTAAAAAAAAAAGGGATACATTTTATCCGTGGATAACCTCTGCGATGGGCAAAAAAGAAAAAGGTACAACCGTGGTTCGAACACGGGACCACACGATGATAGAGATTGCAATCGTGTGCTCTACCACTGAGCTATTGCACCGAACAAACGGCTTATCGGCTTAGACGTACTTGTGGGAAAGAATTACTGAAATAAGCGCCGATTGCTGTTCAAGATCTTGTCGTCTCTACTTCATACAATGACTGAAATTTACCTATTCTCATATTGAGAAACGAATTCTTCTCTTATAACCCCAGTGACGAGACCACTATGATGGAACAATAAAGCGTTCAACCTTTAACCTTCAAGAACTAAGTATTCCTAATGGACGTCCAAGAAACAGATCAGTATGACACATAAACTTCGCCCATCGATGTTCATTGGTCTAACAGTATTTTTAGCATCCATTTATTGACCTTTAATTTTTGATAAAACCATGTTCTCTTCGAAATGTCAGAGATTGTGCTGCAATATGATTGCCAGATAATGTAAGTTATCAGGTCTCTCAAAGTAATGCATATTGAGACGTGAGTTTCTGTATATAGTGTATGGTTGTATTACTATCTTGAGTTCCCTTTCTTCAGATCTGAACACCTCGTTCCAGCGGATCGCCCCCTCGCTGCTTCTCCTCGTTAATAGTAGCCATGCCTTCTTCTGTTTTATCACGGGTGGACAACCATGAAATCATTGTGTCAAGAGAACACGGGGATATCATACGCTTCATAGACTACCCTGTTTAACTAAAAGAGCGGTTGGGTTAAAAAACCAAAGGGAAGGGATGAAGTTGTCAACCTCAAAACAATCTACAAGAATAGATGACTAAAGTCTTAAAGGCCCAATTAGTTATCCGTTTAGCCCTTCGACAAACCCTACTTTAATTTTTTAAAAGAAGGATTCGTTGAACGGACGAAAGTCTCGATCCGAATTGTATTTTATCTATCGCTGCGTCTCTATGTACTATGACCTAGGGCCTCTATGAGCGCCGTCATAGCTAAAGTCTTTCGCTTAATTGAAAGAGTTCCACAATGTGGAAGAACTATACATCCACTCTTTTTCAACATCCCATCCCAGGTTGTTATATGGATTCACGCACTACAATAATGTTCCGCGATTTCCTACTAAAACGATACAAATTATTTTCCTTTCCCCTCTTTCCTGAATCCGACTTTCGAAGGTTAAATTAAATCAAAACAGCAAAAGGTACAATACCTCGGACAATGATTTTGTCACCTGGTGTCCTCCTTTGTGCGGATCGATAAGTGTGTGTTTTTGTATGTTTCTTCCCTTCATGGTTGCAGGCACCTTAGGCTCAAGATTATATCTGTGGTTATCATTATTATCCAGTTATAGCGGTAGATCCACGTCGGACCGTACTTCCAACCCTGGCGAAGCAAGCCGCAAAAGCTACCCTTCATTAATTGATGATGCCTTGCACACTTGAATCTTATTTATGTTGCATGTCATGATCGCACTCAAGACCGGGTTTTCGCACTGGTTCAAGGAGGCGCGTGATTGTCAATACATCGCGCAGGTTGTGAATCTGAGTTCTTCGGAAGAGACGTTGTACTAACACGGGTGTGCCCCCTCAACCAGGATATCCGCATTCCTTGTCATCATTGACAAACACTTTTGTGTGGCATGGCGTTAACATGTCATGTCGTAATGGAGGGATACGTAAATCCCTTTTTTGGAACTATTGTTTGAAGAGACCCGGGGATAAATTGCCGTATATTACTGGAGGGCCTGTCAAGAGTAGTGGTCGAGGTGTCGATTTTCAGGGCTAACCAAACCAGTTTCAATCGATCTTACTTGGATCTCAATTATAATAGGGATCTTGATTTATACAAGTCTCCGAAATCGCGTTCGCGTCAGGGTATACATATCACAAGCTCTCAAATGGTGGGTCCCCTCGTGCAAACATTTTAAGGCTAAGTTACGAGGACTCCCCGCAGATTGAAAAGCAAACAAACTTATTAACACGACGACTCGGATCCGTTCGATTTTTAATATAACCGATACGGGCCAGTACAAGCACCGCATAAACCGTTGCTCGGTTTGGTATTTAATCGGATGCCTGGATACGCACTGCTGATTAAGTACGCAAATCCCCTTACGATTGTTCCGATACGCAGTGTTCACGGGCTTAAGAGCTGCAAAGGCCGAAGTCGTATGAGCATACAAGGTATGCACCGGACAGATAAAGCCCGAACAAGCACTTGTTGGCGCGGTGCAGTAACTTACGATCAATGACTCAAATAGTTTCAACCGCAACAGTGTTTTTTGGACTTAAAGATGGAAAATGAAAAATGCTGCACCACTTGAGACGCTCTAGTTTTCACACTTCTGGCCTTTCAACCTCCCAAGCTTAGGGTCAAGGCTAGCAACCCCGGGGAATGTGATTATGTTGCATGTGGTGCAATTGCTTGGACCCTAGACGCTTCCCCCCTTATGGCGCCTTTTTAATATCACAGGTCATTAACTGCCCGTATATTTTAGAAACGGCCTGCGTTTTACGGGACTCACATTATTATGATCATTATTCACTGCAGTGTTCTCTAAAGCTGGTGAATATGTCGGATTTAGGAGGATGTGCCGACTGTCTAGAGATCTTGCAGCACGGTGGGCCGTGACACGGATGCTATCTTTGTTTTTTAAAAAAAAACCGTGATTATCTATAGGACAGTTTGCGCTAGTGGGCTTTACTGGAGTAAATGACGAAGATTAAGAATTCATCTTACCTTGTGAGGGGACTTGCTGACAAGAGTCTTTTATGGCACTGTTAGCTCAAATTCCTCTTGAAAACAAGCTACTAGTAGGAGTCTTTTTTTCATTTGTTGTATGCCAGTTGCTAGACCTTTTTTTTTTCAAGATTGAGATTCCTCACAGCACCGCTATACGGATCAGGTCTATATAGATGTGAAAATTATGTGCTATGGAAACAGATTAAGGACATTCATTCAAAACGGTGCCCGAGGCTTATGCAAATTTTGCTGAAATCTTTTGGTAGGTTTGGGACCCAAATGTTGCACCAGATTGATTTCATCAAACTCCTCCTTTTATTGCCAAGATCTTGACCTAGTACTGACACAGACTCAAACATCTTATTCTAGTTACTAGTATGTCACGAGACCGTCCTAATGAAAAATTCCAAATCTTGTCTGTTTACTTGTTGCTGCGTACTATGCATCAGCGTCTCCTTACAATACTAGTAGCGGCCATGAGTTGGTTATGGAACATCATTTCATCCCTGGACTTCATCGCTGTCGGTCATGGAGTAGTCCGAGAGCCGTGACGTTAAATTCAAAATTACTTTTGGTTGTTACACTAGCAAGTCCACCGTGTCAGATCTAAAAGTTTCAAGGGGAAAATGCCACACGGAGGGATTTAATTACTTGCCAAGAACTGGTTCAGCGATACTCAATAAAGTTCACACAGCAACCGAAGGATCTCAACTTGACGTGAATCAAAATCATGCCCTACACTGATATCCCGCATACAACATGATATAAAGTAATAGCTTGTCCTACCGTAGACCTGTGGTAATTGATTATAATGGCCCTGTTAGAAATCCTCACGTGCTATGACTCGTCAGTTCGATAAGGGACGGGACGGCATCAAGGGAGACTTGGAAACAATGAATCGAATAGTCGTGTCAACTCTAATACAGCTACTATTCCTATATTCACCTTGACCGAGAAAAAATGTTACATTATTTGCCCTCGGGGAAGGGATATTGGATTGCCCATTCGTCCAGCGATGGCTGACACTCCGCGGTCGTATAGCAGTACTTTCTTATATTTGTAAAGGTTGAAGGGTGTTGAGATCTTATGGCATAGCTCTAGTGGAATTTCTTCTTGGTGTAACTTAAAAAAAGCTCGACTAGTTAACGAATTAACGAACCTAATAAGAAGGGAAAGCGTTACGACAAGAAGGTTGTGGATGCAAAGCCGTATTAGGCTAACCTAATTTATTAACAAGCTTGCCATGGGGCCACTATTATAACGAAGGCGCACCTAGATTTTACGCCCGGCCTTGTCAAGATGTCTTGTTCATGTCCCCATAAGCTTCGCACCCGTCGATCGGTAGGAAGATAAGAGTAAGACTGCATCATGTACCGACCCTGAACACCGTGCTTTACATCTTCTCGGTTCGGCGGATGTGGATATAAATAAACCAGATTTGGCGGGGGAGGTATTAATAAATATACTGTAGAAATGGAGGAGTTAAGAACGCTGCCCGAAAAGTTCTAAGGTCTGAAGCTTTATTTCGAGAAAAGATTATGCTTTGTTGCATTTATGTAGTATAGAGTCATTATTTGCATAGTAGTAGTGATCAATTATCATCTACATAGTGATCTAAATAGTTCGTCTGAAAGAGATCAGGACCGCAGCATGATGGTATTGTAACATCCATTTCAGCGCAGCTATTACTAATACTCTACTACGACGTTCCCCCCGCAGATCGCAATCAACTTCAATTGAAACCAAACCCAAATATATGGGCTCGCATATAATGCGTAACTGAATGACGACGATCATCTACTGATTCAGTTCGGCTGAACTCTCCCGATTTATTCTCGGAGTGAAGCTTTTAAACCTCGTGGGTAAGTCCGAGTAGACTTGTACAAGTCCGAACTGCAAGAGTACCCGAGGAAGACTACCGTACCCGAGGTGTCCGGTAGCTTTCCTCGGGGCGCATCCTTTTGCTATTATGTTTGTCTTGGTGTAACAATAGTAGTAAGTACATCGATCTCTAGAAATGATAGCTCCTGAGTCCCAAATACTTGACTGAAGGAAAGAAAATACTGGTCTTGTATTGTAGTTATTACTGCTCATCATGAGAATCGGATGATCCGGACTTTTGTAAGTTGCAAGTGGAACTGTATCACGTCCCTTAAGATCTTGAGTAAAAATGTACTCCCACGTCGATCGATCATTTATGATCTCTTATATGTTTTACCAATGACTTTCCATGACGTCCTTGTACGGAGTTGAGTTTTGAGCGTGTAACACGGAATTGTAAGTTGGTGGTGGATATGCTGAAGAGGTTTCTGACCTCTTTACACAATTGTGAAGTGAATATGCGTGTATGTTTGGGGGTGG